GGGGTGAAAATATGAAAGGAGGAGGAAGTGTTTTAGCACTCCTCCACAGTCCCACATCGAGCTCCTCCTGTGGTCCTTTCAGTCCGCCAGTGGGCCCGAGTGTGTGTCTGTGTGTTGGCTCTGAGTGTGCCATTATGGGGCCACCTGGTTCCTTTTAAATATGTCATCACTTCCTGCGTGCACTCGGTGAACATGCTCACTGCATTAGCTGTGGGACGGAAAGATGTGTGTGTGAATCACTGCAATGCACACAGCTATGGTACGCTGGACTATAAGAGCGTGTGTGTGTGTCGTCTGTGTGGCGTTTGTGTTACTGGCGCTTCCAGGACGCTCACATCTATCATTTTAATGAATAATGAATGCTGGGCTGCAAAAATGTTTCTCGACTAAAGTAGCTCCCATGCGTGACTGTGCGCTTCCTCTGTTAGCATGATACGTATAAAATCCCCCGCCCGTCCCGAGGATTAGTCTCGTGATTAGTGTCAATGTTTTCTTGTTTTGTTCTTTTTTTCCCGTTAAAAAAATGAATCCTCAGCAATGAAATCGTCCCCTGATCTCCCCGGTGGAGGAGAGAGAGAAAAGAAAGCTGTCACGGTGATTTTCATGGTAATTTGCGAGATTACAATATGCTAATGTGATAATTACAGTGGCTGTTTGGCGTTAATCAGCTTCTGCTGGCAGAGTTATTGTATTTACCGTTAGGATTTGTGCAGCCCACCGTCACACGCTTTCGCCAGATTTCTTTCAAGAGACAGCGTTGTTCTGAGGTCGACTCGACGAGAGGCTTTAGAAAGGCGCGCGCCGCTTTGTTTGTGGTATCGGTCTCTGCGAGCGAGTCGACGCTTTCCTCATTAGAGAGATGAAGATTGGCACAGATGCATTCGCGGGGGCTCCCGGTCACGCCTGCGAGCATTTCAAAGAGGAGGAACGCATTCGTTTGATAGGAGAGCAATGCACAGCTGCACACGTCATCGCCCCTCCATTAAGAACACCTACTCTTCTGTGTTTTTAATAATGCTAATTTATTCATGTGTGTGCAGAGCAGTACAGTAAATCTGAGCTTTTACATTTTTTACTACTTACTATAGAGCCAGCTAATGAGTTATTGGACTGGCACAGGGCTGGAAGACTGAGCAATGAGGCGTTATATAAAACTACACTTCCTCCATCGCAGGCATTTCCTGTACATTTTAATTACCTTATTTCCAAACTGGGTTAGAAGTATTCTGGACAATGAATTCATCTTATTGCAGCTTTCTGAATAAAATGCGCCTGCAGATTATTTGTTTTTGTTTGCTCGTCTCATCCCGTGATGCTGCTCAGGTGCAAAAAGAGAGGCGCGTCCCCTCCGTGCATGCCTCAGGTGTTCTGAGGTTTTACTCTGGCTTGCGTCAGACGCTGAGCTGCAGCACTCATAAGCTGTGGAGATCCAGGAAAGAGATTCCTGTCAGGCGCTGTGCTCTGTTACAGAATCACATTTGGACAAACCTGAATCAAGTACAGGAATGCTTATGGAGTGGACTGTTTAATCGTGCAAAGTAAATTTGACATTTTGAATGAATTAATTAACATTTTCAATTCTCCAGATTGGTTTTAATAGAATTGCTTGTCTAGAAATTGTGCAAAATCAAACACATCTTTCCCTTGTATTAAATGCTATCAC